TGCCGGTGGCAGGGGGTTGGAGCTGGATGATCTTAAGCTCCTTTCCAACCCCAATCATTCCATGATTCTCATATTTAACATAGACTGTTACCAGCCCTCCCCATTCTGGTTTAACCATCATCTTTTCCTCTGGTTAAACCCCAAAGTTGCCCTTTTCTTGGTTGTTGTGTGGAAGAACAACAGGCCAAGGAAGGGACACTGAGCAGTTGGGAACAGGGAACCTGCCAGCACAGGAAAGTGCCAACATCACCACATAGAGAGCATCAAGTGCTTTAGTTCCTCCTCTTGATTTCCCAGGAAAGATAAACCTGGGAGCTGCCCTGGGCAGGAGCCCCTTTGCAGCGTGGTCTTCCTATGGAGCGAATGCGTGTTGCACTTTGTGAGGAGCAGGAGAACCATCCCCAACCATCATTTCTCCATCTCATCAGTGATGGAAACCCTCCCAGTGGGTGCACTGCACCAGTGCTCAGACATTCCATGCTTAGGGCTGCTTATTTAGGACCTAGACCCAGACCAAAGGTGGGCTTGGGTGCTTAGGGGACCCTTTAGTGCAACTAATACCTGACATATTTACTTTGCTGCTTTACCTTTGTGCTGCGTCCCACCATCTCCTTGCAAAGGGCTTTGCTGCTCTGTAAAACACAAAGTATTCCAGGCGTGTGGAATTCTGACGTGTGTTCAGACAGCACAGGGTTAATGGAAGCGAGGCAGGGGGCGGGCCTGATCCTGTGGGAAGCCTGGGAAGGGAGTAATTGCACAACTCCCGGGAGGAATGTGGAAAATCCACACAGCCCCAGACAGCTCATCCCACAGACCGGCAGCGATTTGGAGCCCGGGACACCGGGAACGGCTCCACTTTTGGGTTCCAGCAGCAGCCCCCACATGTTGCTTTGGATAAAGCGAAGGATTTCCCAGCAGAGGTGATGGCTTTTTCCCTGTCTGTGTTTTACCAAGAGAAGGACAAGGAATGCGATGGGAGAGCTTCTCTTCAGCTCCCCTATCCCAGCGTTTTGACTTGCAAATGATGTTATGGCAAACAAGAGAGACCAAGATGGGAACGCGGCACTGTTGCATATGGATAGTTGGGGCTTGCGTTTGATATCCAAGCCTTGCTGAGGAAAAGGTTCCTAAACTTGGGGTTCCATGGAAAGTGGGGGAAGACTCCTGGTAATTCAACCTGGCTTCAACTCTGCTGAATTAGGAAATAAGTGCTGAGAGGGTGAGAATTCCTCTTCTTGGAGTGTTTTGCCTTGTGTTTCCAGTGGTGTTTGCAGGATGCTGCTTCTCCTCTTTCCAAGGACAGGGAACCGTGCCCATGGCTTGCTGGCCATCAGAGGTGTGCACCCAAAAACATAGCCTTAGCATCCAGCTCACCCACTGGCCTTGGGAACGCTCTGCTCCCCCTCGCCATGAACAGGCCAGGAGCCTGGGATAGCACTGGAGGCACTTGGAATGCCGGCGGATCACCACGGAGACACTTCCCGCCCGGCTCCGAGCCTGGTGCCGGCTGGCTTCTGGGCTTCCATGCAGAGCCCTGCCCCTGGAGCTGGAGCTGGAGCCATGGCCCTCCCGGTGCTCCACATCACCACCCACCTGAGGAACATCGAGCGGAGGTTCGAGTACCTCCGTGAGCTCTTCCATAGGGGTGAGTAGTTTCCAACCTCAGGGGTGAGGTGATCCCCTCTTGTTCTTGCTGCCTGAGTTATCTAAAGCAATGGAGTTTGATGATGAAGTGCTCTGGACTTTTATCTACTGATGCAATTCATTACGGGAGAAGGTGTTTGCATAATGAGCTGCCTGTGCTGAGAAGCCACCCTCAGTGGGCTGAGAGCCATCTGAGTGCCCAGGTCTCCTCCAAAAGCAATGCAAAAACTACTCCAAGTGCCATTGACAGCAGCTGCAATTCCTCACAGGAGAGTTAAACTGCCTCGAGGAAGGATGATCCCTTTGGGAAAACTGGGATTCCTCCCTGGGAAGGAATCCAAATGTCGCAATTCAGACAAAGGCTTGAGCTGGTGATGCTCTGGGTGGAGGTGGGAGCCCAGGCATGTGCCTTCCTTTTCCCCATCTCTCTCCTCCTTCCCAGGATAGCTTCTGTACCTGCAGGACACTCCAGGGTGGAGAGGAAGCAGACCTAACCTGGGAATGGAGAAAACAGTTATCACAGGCTCTAGAAACCTCACAGAGCACAGCAGCAGCCACAAAACCCCTTCAGCTACTTGCTGGAACAAGGAGCCTCCTGTAGGAGCCACCTTCTCCACTGAGGCACCCAGAGCCCCCTGTGGTCCTGCTCTCCCCACCCACGGCCACAAGCTGTAGCTCTGGGCCATGGTGACTGCCTTACCCCAAACAAGCTGGGTTGGCCACGCTTCTGGAGCAGCCTCCTCTGAGCTCTGCAAGGGGTTTGCTCCCAACATGTGCTGGTTTTCTCACCAAGCATCTTCCCCAGCGCCCAGGCTTTTTCCTTTTGGAGATCAGCCCCTTTGGATGTAAAGGCACAAGGATACACACGATGCTCCTGCAGTGGGAAGCGGGAACATTCACTGCTTGGGCTCGTGGGGTAGAACGTGGACAAAAGGCAGCGTGGAGCCATAGAGGGTCCTGGTGGTTAAAGAGTGGGCAATATCCACAACCATCCCATT